CTTTCTGAGAAGCCCGATCATGCTTCACAAGGCCAGGTTGAGGAATTCTCTTAAGTTACAGATGAAACCAGTGAGAAAAGACAGATGTGGGGAGTAGATCCAGGAGAGAAACATCCTTCCGTGGGAATTCCAAGACAGAGCAAAGAAGAAGGGGCAATAAGCAAAGAAGAAATAAAAGAGCATTTTTCTGAGCTGAAGGAATACACAAGGGTTGCCTTCTACACGTTCCCACAGGGAACAAACCTGGACCCAAACCTGCCCTTGAGAAAGGTTTGAAATCCAAAGGTTAAAAAAAAGAGCATATGAGCTCTAATCAAGAAAATGCAGGTTATCTTCCAAGAAGGAAGACTCTAACCTATACTGGACTCACCCGCCATATACCACAGGATCGATATGACCAGCACAACGGGGAAGAAAAATTAGGCCCCAGCACAGTGCAGAGAAGTAAACCATACTCACACCTGAAGATCAAAGGAATAAATGTTTGGACAGGGAAGGCCAAAAAATGACATTATCCAACCCCTTTCTTTTTCTTTTTATTAAAAAAAAAATGTTTTTTAAGTTTGCTATAGGGTACATGTGATTGCCAGAGCCAGAGGGCGGGAGTGAAAAATCACCCCTCAAGGTGGATGGCCACACTACAATCCCTTCTCCTCCATTCTCCTCTCGGGATCTTGGGTACGCGCACGCCCAGTGTGATTTTCAAGCAGCCGGGTCTGGAACTCGAACCGTACTGCCAGTCCTGTGGGACAGCCACCTGAACCTCTGTGCTACCTGCCAGCCCCACCTTTTCTTTTTAAAAACAATTTAAGGATATTCTTCGACCAAACCAAAATGAGAATGAGAATGAAGAACTTGACAAGGGGGTGAGGATGGTACACAAGCCATATGGAACTAGCAGAACTTCTAGTTGGTCCTGCATAATTGCAGACAATGCTTTTGGGGAACTGAATAAAGTTATTAGCAAAAAGATGCTTAAAAAAAGAGTAAGTTTGGGAACCAGCAGGTAGCGTAATGGCTATGTCACTGGACTCCCACGTCGTCAACCGCGGTTCGTGTCCCAGACCCAGTGGCTTAAAACGCACCCTGGGCGCGTGTGCGTGCGTGCCCAAGATCCCACGAGGAGAATGGAGGAGAAGGGATTGCAGTGTGACCATCGCCCCTGGGGGATGATTTCTCGCTTTCTGTCTCTCTGTCTCTCTCTGTCTGTCTGGCGAGCGCACGCACCCTATAGCGAAAAACCTCTCCAAAAAAAAAAAAGAGTAAGTTTGGGAACCAGCAGGTAGCGTAATGGCTATGTCACTGGACTCCCACGTCGTCAACCGCGGTTCGTGTCCCAGACCCAGTGGCTTAAAACGCACCCTGGGCGCGTGTGCGTGCGTGCCCAAGATCCCACGAGGAGAATGGAGGAGAAGGGATTGCAGTGTGACCATCGCCCCTGGGGGATGATTTCTCGCTTTCTGTCTCTCTGTCTCTCTCTGTCTGTCTGGCGAGCGCACGCACCCTATAGCGAAAAACCTCTCCAAAAAAAAAAAAGAGTAAGTTTGGGAACCAGCAGGTAGCGTAATGGCTATGTCACTGGACTCCCACGTCGTCAACCGCGGTTCGTGTCCCAGACCCAGTGGCTTAAAACGCACCCTGGGCGCGTGTGCGTGCGTGCCCAAGATCCCACGAGGAGAATGGAGGAGAAGGGATTGCAGTGTGACCATCGCCCCTGGGGGATGATTTCTCGCTTTCTGTCTCTCTGTCTCTCTCTGTCTGTCTGGCGAGCGCACGCACCCTATAGCGAAAAACCTCTCCAAAAAAAAAAAAGAGAAGTTTAAAAAAAAAAAAAAAAACACTCATGAAATATCATTTCACTTTGGACCTTATTGGTGGGATTCAGCACGTGCCCAGGAGGGTTCTCCACCTCTGACTCATCCCAGTCACACGCCTGGCCAGTCTTGCCACTCCTTCTCATGAGTGGCATTACACTTACGCTCATACATTCACATACAACTGGATTTCAAAAAGTTCAAGGAGGGTCCAGCAGGTGGCGTGGTCAGTAAAGGCACTGGACTCCCACATGGCTGACCTCATTTCAAGTCCTGGACCTGGCGACTAGCTTTCTTACTTTTCCTTTCTTTCTCGCTCTCTTTCTAGTCAACTTAAAAAATAATAATAATTAAAATTAAATAAGTAATTCTTTAAAAAAAAAAGGTGCAAGGAAAAAGGGAATTGAAGTACAAGTTTACTAGCATGAAAAATGTTTGAAATCCATGCATAATTTTCTGTAGCTGCATTTTCTGTGAACTTTTTGAAGACCCCCAGTTGCTCTGCCCCTTACACAGCGCGTAGGACCGCACCAACACCGAGCAGGCGCTCCCCGTCCCGGCGGGTGGATGAACGCATGAATGAGCCTGACCCAGGGAAGCAGGACCCAGGCACAGAGCAGGCTCCAGGATGCCGCAAATGGCCGAGTGTAACCTGCCTCTCTGACTACCGCTCTGTCTCGGTAGAACAAACCAGCATTGGAGCCAGACGGTGTCTGAGTTACGCTCGATCTCTGACTGGCTGCGTGATCTATTTTTACAACAACAAAAATAGCTAACATTCATTGGGTGTTCACTTAGACAGAGCTATCATTATTCCCACTTCACAGATGGGGAGACAGAGGCTTAGAGAAGTCAAGCGGCTTTCTCAAGGTCCCACGGTCAGTTACTAATAGCATGACACAGGTCCAGCATTGCTGGCTGTGCAGGACACAAAGGGAGGAAGGAATGCCTGTCTATCCAGTCCCCCCCCCCCCAGGTCTACCACGGCTCCCCC